TCTGAGAGCCAAACATTCATACTTTTTTCATATCTATAAAAATCTCTAATTGCTGTTTTCTCAATGTCACTTACTTTAGTTTGAAATTTGTGGTACAATTCTAAGGTAAAGCCATAATCTCTCTTAGAATTTTGATTTTGATGGCCTCTGCAATAGTTAATACTATTTATGTCTTTCTAAAAAAAAAATTTTGGGCTCTATCAGCTTTTATTTTGTTATATTTGATAGTAGGAATACAGGAAAGTGGGTTAGAAGAGAGTGGAGAGACATTATGCAAAGGTCAGTTGGGCTCCTAGAATGATGTGACTGTGATCATCTGCAAAATTTCAGGTCGGTGCACCTGGAATGGGGTCTGTAAAGCAGAACGGAAGATGTTCATCTCGTGCATTGCTGTGTTGTTTAAACCCAGAAAGTTGGGTTGTATTGTTATTATTTTACATATTATAATATATTTTATAACTATTATATCATATTATAATTATGATAATTGTTTTATATATTACATTGCTATAATATTTATAAATATTATCACTATATTATTAACTTTATTATCCTTAATATTGCAATTATAATGACTTCAAATTAATTAATCTAAAACATATTTAAACATACAACATTTCCATAAAATTGTCATGTAGGCTTACACTCCTTCACATAAGACAAGTGGAAAATAAAAAACATTTTGAATCAGATATTAGTAGAGCCGTCACATCTTCAATAGCCTTGCAAGAGATCACAACCTATGCTTGAGAGAAAATAAATCTGTTTGCTGGTAACAGCACAAATGGACCTGGGACCCTGAGGACTTTGCTGTCTACAACTACTCTATGATGTTAGTTCTAGACCTACGATAAGAAAAAAGGGCAAACCATAAGGTAAAAAGGCCAATTAAGCTGAACGTTTTGTAAAACAGAACCATGGCAACTTGTTGCCTAAGCAACAATAGTCAACTCAGGAATTTCTTATGAAAAACAGTGTTACTTACACTTTTAACAGTCAGTGGGAAAAAAAACTTTAGCATATTAGTAATTGATTTATTATTGACTTAATTTGTAAAAAAAAAACCCAGACCGATCATCTCATTAGCTAACATGTTTTTCTAGCAAAAGTGCCTTGCAAACTTAACAACATCTTAATGACCTTATGAAGCTTCATATAATAATATAAACATCAAATATACATGACAAAGGCAGAGTATACCACAAACCTTGGTTTGTGTTGAATTGAGTCTGGTCAGTATGGTCTCATCAGAAGATGTTGAGGTTCAGTTAGTGGGCGGTGTGGTTGCACATGTTCAAACATCAGCCTATGGTGTTGCATAGTCCAAAATAAACAACCACAACATTATAGAGATTACAATCCAACAGCTAACTCCTGCTAACATAACTAAACTAGCAAATGGGGTCATCAGAATACCCAATTCAATGAAATTGACCAAATTAAATTACCCAACATGCTCAACCTGGCAGTTGGTTTAAAAAACAACCCAGCATTTCTTAGAAAGTATCGTGCCTGTTATTGTATGTTTGAGAATGCTGTTTTTATGACCTGTGATTAAAACTCCACCTGAGGTTATCACCCCTCCTACACACCCAACTCTGAGGTTACAACTCTGCAACTTGTCCCTGGACACTCTGAAACCCTTTGACCCTAACAGGTTAGAAAATCTGCACTCAGCTGACCCACCTGCTAGGTGATGATTGGTGGGACAAAGCTTTTAGCTTACACAACCACAGTCCACTACATTCAAATACGACTGTTTAAAATGTATTCAAGTGTCACCTGACAAATGGCATTTAATTCATATATTTTATTCATGCTTTCTTTTTTTCTTTTTTTGGCAGAAATATTTTAGTAGGCCTACTATATCAAAAGTTATTTTAATAACCATCAAACCCTCTGCCCATCTGACTATATTTGGGCTCCCTTCTTTTTAATGATTTTATACACTGGATTGTTTAAAGACTTTAATATGTACAATAATTAATGCTTATTTTTCACTATTTGTCACTGGTATCTGAATTGTGTTGAGCTTTTTTATTTCTTTTTTGTATTGTAAAAAAAAATTAGAATGAGACTTTAACAATTTAAATGTTGTAGAATGCCTAGTGTATAGCTATACTCTTTCCCTGTACATATATATGTAACCAAAATGTATTCAGCTGTATCAGTGATATGGATGTGACGTGAACTCTCAAAGAATGACATTGGTTACTTTCATAAACCCCAAAAGTTAAATGCAAAATAAATTAAAAAAATTGACACCCATCTTTGAAATTACTGAGGTTAAATACTTTTTATTGAAGAGGTATAATATAGTAATCACAAACTTAAAATTGAACATGTCATCAAGCAATGGTGGATTGTCCTCAGAATTTAATCTAAATGTAAATTGTGATATTTCAGGATTTTTCCCTACAGTATACAGTGAATTACAGAATCAGTTAGGTTTAGTACAGATAATGTGTGTTAATATTGACTTAAAATATATCCATACTACTCAACTTCTAGGTAGTATGACTTAAAAAACAATCACAGCATAAGAGCCCTAGAGTTACCACTGGAGAAGGTTTTCTGTTAGAGACCTGGGAAATAGAGCAGCAGGAAGTAAGTCAAAAAAACTGCCTTCTATGCATAAATGATGGAATTTAATTTGGGAGTTTTGCAGAAAAAATACATTAATAGATAGTACACTAGTGGTGCCCTGCACTATCAGGCACAGCCACTGGGGGGTGCTGTTTCACTTATAAATATATATTATGTAGAACCACCTGCTTCAATTTAGCAATGTTGAAACACTATAAAAAGCTGCTTTCTCAAACTTATATTCTGTAATCACAGGTGTTGAACACTATCAAGTAATTATCAAGTAGTGACAGTTTGGACATGGAAGTAATGGTAGACACAGACATAGGTCTAGATTTCATGGACACTCATACAGTTTTTGCATTTATTGTTATATTTATTAAACATGATAAAAATGTGCATTACATTTTGCATGTACAGTTTTTAATCTGTTAGATCTCAAGACTTAATACAATCATTGCTTATAAATGTGCCATTTTGATTAAAGGGAAACTTAGTTGAAGGAAGACACATTATATGATTCTTATATGATATAAAGAGCATTTAGAAATTTGTTGCTAAAAAGATTATGTTCAATAAAATAACAGATAAGTATTTCCACCATAATCAGTTAAAGTTGTGCACCACAAGCTCTACACTCACAGCTAGTCACATGCTTGTAGGTATATTTCCTGGTAGTGAGATCAGAGCATTCCACCTCCAGCTCTCTGAACTCTGAGCTCTGCTCCTGGCAGCAGCTGTACTCCTGCTCCACCTGCAGGTAATCGTCCAACAATATCCTGTTGAAGAGGAAAAAAATCATCACAGAGACGTAAGGAATGGTGATAAAAACTGAAATGATATGTGAGGTCACAGGCTTTTAAGCATCTAAATCTTCGGTTCCTCCTTACCAGGGCTTGGAAAGACAGTAACCCTCACATATCGGTACTTCGATAACGGTGGAGCACTCATCAATAGTGGCGTTTATTTTGGAAAGCTTGGACACACAGGTCTGGTTATCTAGAGTTGGAATAGACAGAACAAAACAAAAAACTTTAGATCATCTTAAAAAAGATTATAGAAGGAATTTAAATCTAATTGGCCAATTTTAGATTTGTGTCATTACCCGATTTACAGGTGAAACAGCAACTTTGGTTGTTCCAAATCCTGTTACCCTGGAGAGACAGTTAACAACACATCATTAGCTAGATTATATTTAAACATGTGGCTTGATCTTTTATTTAGAAACTCATGCTTTAAAGGTAATTCTTTTCCTTTATCCATTTTGTCAGATTAAAATTTCTGACTTTTTGGTGCCTTAAATTTGTACCTCCCCTTCCTTTACTTTGATTGATCTAAATAAGCCCGAGTTCCAAACCAAGTCCAGAAGTCACCTAATTAGTAAATAAAGTCCACATAGTTTAAATCTGATATGACAAATCTAAATGTTCAGTGAAGTCTCCAGACATTTCCATGTTAGAGATAACCAATAAAATCTGTGGAGATAAATTTCACTACTAGCAACCGATATATCTATATATATCTTCTATAATAGCTAAATAGAAGAAATGCATTTTACTTTCTAGCAGGACACCATATATCTAAAGGAGTGGTTCTTAATCCATACCTTCATGGAATGTTGATTTGTATGTTTTATGTGTCTTAATTATTTGAATGAGGTGTGCTGGAACAGGAAAGCAACTAAAACATGAATAACTGGTCATTGTCATTTATTGTCTATAAACTATTACCGTATAATGCGCTTGGTAGTATTAGTATATTGCAATAAATGTAACACAATACACTGAAATTTGTGATTTTCACTGGATGAAATATGGAAAATTTAACAACTACTTTTGCCTGATACCTAATTGTTAGGAATCCAGTTTGTGTGGTCTGTTTTTGTGCTTTTTCTCTCTCCACCACCAGGTGGTGCCCTGTTCCTCGCTGGGCCTCCCTGCACACCTGCGGCTCGTTGGATCATTACCGGAGGAGTATTTGAGCAGTGGGCTGTCACTACCTCAACGCCAGAGTGTTTGCCAGTTTTGGGTACTCTACCCAAGCTGAGATTAGCAGAGTCTAACCGTAGCTTTGTTTCTCTGAGTCTAATCTTGTTTTTGTCTTTGCTCTTTGTCTCTGCAGGAAGTCTTTCCTGTGTAACTGGATAACCTGGACCTTCTCCCCCTGGAAGGATTACTAAGTACACACTGAGCAGGGGTAAACCTCCACATGATCCGTTCAAGTCCTCATCATAAAACGAAGTGACAGTCTGCTCCTTTACTCCTCTGGGTCCAACGTATGTCTACCTGTCTGCTCTCCAACGAGTTCCCTCTCCTCTGGAATAATTCCCCACAAACTGGATTCAAGGATTAACAAGAGCACCCTCAAATTCAAGCCTCAGTCAATTTTCCTACGGTCCCTGAACTAATCACTGTGACCTCGGCTTCAGACTTTCCGGTTCCGGTTCACCAGAGTTCCAGCTCCTACTTCTGTGTTTCATCAACAATCAATAAACCTGTTAAACTTTTTGCCTTGGTCTCTGAGTGGTTCTCTGCATGTGGGTCAGATCGCGTAAACCCATTATGACATTAATAAATTTTTAAACAAATACTTAGTGTAAATAGATATAGCAGTTTTATGTAAAAGTTGCTTTTTTACATTGTTTTACACTCTTAAAATTTTTTAAACATAATCCAAAACAATGAGAAATAATTCTAGTAAATTGGAGATTTCTTTCTTTAGAGACATTAGGCAATGATACCTCAGGACAGTCCTCTGTAGGACATGCTCTTGTTTCACTCTTGATTCCTTTCCCAGTGCAGACAAAGGACAGGCAGGGGTCACTCATGTCCTTCCATGTATCTCCCAACTATGCATAACAGAAATAAAAATCACAAACTGGACAATAAAGGGACTGACTCTGATGATTAAATAATTCAATACAACGTACACTGTATGTGGTTCCATTATAGTTGCAAGTCTTCTCAACTGTAAAATAAAGCAACGGGTGTCCGATTAAAGCAAAGACATCTAAATAAACGTGTTACAATGATAGCACAAGATTTACTTTTTCTTACTGACACAATACTACATTTTTATTAACTTTTATTTAGGGTTAAAATATAATTTTTGTGAAAAATTAAGTTTAACAGTCAGTCTTTTATTGTTCATGATCTCTCAAGATCACACATCCAACCAAAGCGCTCCTTCCCTTCTTAGAACTATAAACTGCAGCAAAATAGAGATCAGGTGTAGAGCCCCATTTCATTTTGGTTTGAATTTTGGTGTATTAATGCATACTAGAATAAAAAAATATATTCTTGACATGGTTTATAGCAAGAATATACTGTTTTAGACAGATACATTCTTCACACAGCTGAAGAAAAGCAAGTTAAAACTATCTAATCTTGAACCATGGCACTCCAGCTTTTTTGTACACATCTTAAGTTAAGGTTAAGGTTTTTGAAGGTGACCTAGGGAGGAGTCGGGTTTTAAAAATAGAAAATGCTTATAGACCATTAAGGAAAACCAGGAAATGGAATAAAGAAACAAAAATACAAAAAAAAATTTCCAATGTCAGTCGATTGTCAGTTCTTACCACAAATCTGATCACCACAACAAGTGGTGTTCACCAAGGTTTCATTTGGGGAACAGACTGGTGTTTCTAAAACAGGCTTTCGAACACACTGCTCAGTGAAGGTCTGATTATTACATGTACAGATGTGGCAATTAGATTCCCACACCTCTCCAGCCTGAAAATAGAGGAACATTCATGTGTTAGATGGTAGTTTTATATAATGAGATGCTTAAAAGGTTTTTTTTTTTTTTTTTACTTTAATGCTTGCTTTGACAAAACAAATCATACTTACAAACTTAGGCTCTCCGAGCGGTCCTTTACAATCTGTTTTTAAAGAATAAAAAAAGTCATTTCTGGAAGAAGACTGAAGCTAAATCTGTTAGAAGTTGTACTCACAAGGACATTGCTTCACACAAACATTTGAGTGGCTTCCTGCCCTAAAAAGTCCTGGAGGGCAGAAACATCCGGAAATGGGCGGGTCCACAGATTTTCCCCAATTAATGACTCTAAACAGAAGAGAAATATCTTGATAAATCGTTAACAAATATTTACAAAAAGTAAAGCATCAAACAGGTGAATGTTTTTCACAGTATAGTGATTCAGAGTGGGGGATTAAGGGGGGCTGTGCGGCATTAAATTTGGACCATGTATCCAAGGCAACGTATATTATTTCACACAACTAAAGTAATCAAAACAAATTGGTGTGTAAAAAATGAGTAGTAAATGACACAACAGGAAAATAAATGTTGAACACATGAGGAAAGGGAGGTACTGTAGGTCATTCCCAAATACGATTGCAAGAAAGATGTACTGAGTAATGTGTGATGGGAATCTAAAGACAAAACTAAACCCAGATTATTCTACAGCCGGGTAGTATTCCCAGATATATGGTTAGAGAATCTAATTTGTTTCAGATAGAATACAAAGCTGCTCGAATAGCCAAGATCATCAACCCTCCTTAATCCCAGGGGCCTGAGAGTTTCTCTGCAGAACAATACTTCAATATCCCAACACAGGGATGTACAGAGATATTTCTCTATACAACAGATGTTTGATTATTTTCATACAGCTTGACTCAATTATACATCTTCTAATGTATTCTGGATCTCTGGATTTCTTGTGCTTTTATAAATTTGAATATCAATATATTCACTACAAAAAACATTGCTGGGATCAACAATTTTTCCTACTATATTTTTGCACAATGGTAAAGAGATAAATAAAGCTGGCAAACCCTCCAAAACAGAAGTCATCTTTTTTATCTTGGCATTCCTTATAAATCAATCCTTTGGGACATTCCACATCTGAAACACAAAAAAGGGGAGTGACATTAAATCAAGAACTAATTAGAAATTAGTTCATTCATTTCTCTGAGAGGCTTTGCTATACATAGAAGAAAGAGGTATAAAGTGCTTACCACAAATTCCATTAGTCAGTTCTCTCCATTCAACACAGAAACCAACATGTTTACATTCCCTAGCTGCTTGTTCCAAAGAAGAGCAGGAAGCATTTGGGTTTAAACATGAATCAAACTGACAGTTCTTCTTTGTGATAGCCATATTCACATATTTGCTGCAGTTAGCAAACACCCTGCAGAAAGACAGATTTTTGCTTTTAAAGTAAACAGATTATTCGGCTATTGGCATTTCACACCTGTCACACGTTTCTAACAGAACATTTTTGTGTGTAGAGTGAAGCGTACGGGTGTTCAAGCAGTTGGCATAATGGGTTTGATACACAGGTAGGTGGGGGTCCAGGGGGTTCCGGGGGAACATCGGGGACACACGGTACATCTACTGGTGCAGAAGAACACTCCGGCTTCAAAGGGTCATAGTAAACCCAGTCATAGGCTGTCTTGTCACAGCAGGTGTCGTCCTCAATCTTGCCTCCTCTACGGATGCATGATGCACCACCACACACACCTTTAGAAGGGAAGAAATTGCAGGTTAACAAATTATAACATACACCATCATAATTAATAAATAAGTAACCATCAGCTTCCAAGATCTTTAGCTAAACACTTTGTACTATTCTGCACTTAATCAAAGTTGCCATTAAATTGGAACAAGACCAAATTAATCCCTTTAAAGATATCAGTTTAGATTTTAAGAAACAAGTCAAGTTGGGTTTCGATGAATAATTCTTAAGCTAATCAATTTATTTGTTGCTATTTTTTTCATTTATAGAATAATAATCTGATAGCAAAATATGCTATATGGGATTTTTTTTTTTACATTAGTCACAAAAGTCAGCAAAATAAAAAAAATAAAAAAAATCAAATAAAAAAAAAACGAAAAAAATGAAAACAATCAAGAAAAGCAATAAGAATTAATCGAATTAATTGTTTCAGCTGTAAATCTAGGAATGATCAAGTCATAAGTATTGGCCCAGAGGAACTTTCCACAATGAAATAAGTTTTCCCCCTACAGAGTGGGGAGCAGAAAAGAACTCCTAACTCCAAAATGTACAACTTTCAGTTTTTTGACAACTCCCAAGTGCCTTTTGGAGAGTAGACTAAACATGAAATACTACGACAACATACAAAACATGCATAAAGGAACAAGACTTTTAAATTAAGGCATTTAAGCGTAAGCACACTACTAACGATAAAGCATGGTGGTGGCGGCATTATGGCATTCAGTTCTTTGTATCATCTATCTAGGAAGTTAGTGTTTTAAACAGATACCAAGAGGAGATGCTGCAGACCATTGTAGTGTGAAAATTGAATGTGCAGTTGAGGCATAATACATTGATGTGTTGAAGACTGGTGAAAAGGAAGCTTACATTATTTTCCAATTGAAAATCATGACTTCCTGTTCAAAGCTTACCACATTGACCCTGAGTATTGTTGACAAAGTTTTCCATGGCAAGGTTGACCACCAGGTTAAAAGATGGAGAGAGGGAGACAAAAGAGCGGATGTCAGGAAGGACGATTAATACTTCATAGTCTGTGGTTTCAAACCTTATCCCCTCTGCCTCAAATGGTGGCTGAACCATCTCATCATTCAGAGTGGCCTGTGGAAGACACACCCATGTCAATCCATCTGACTTGATAATGCGATGTAAGATTTTTCATACTTAAATTGACAAATCTGTTTATCTGCTTACATTTTTGAAGCAGTATATCCATAAAACACAGAAATTACCTGAATACCAACAGCATCATAGTCTACGCTGAGCTCAGCCGTGTTGTTCTGATATTTCACAATGACGTCCTTAACACAAGAGCCTTGGAGTCCTGGTACGCAGTAGAAGTTGTCCACCAAAATGGTCAGGTGGTGCTTGGGTGACTGCTCTTCCACCAGAATGTAGGTGCAGTTTTGCAGAAAATCAAAGGTTGCACCACTAAAAGAGGTGTAGTGAGGGTCTCCATAGAGTTCACAGCGACCTGTGAATGTTCAGAGGCATGAGTTGATTAAGCTGTAATATGCAAACATAACAATTACTTTGGAACAAAATAATAATAATGTTGTTCCTGTAAATCAGAAATAAAAATTTATGAACACTCACAGTCACATCCCCATGTTTCACAGCATCCATCAAGGATCTTTACTACATCACCCCTGGGACATGCAGGTGTAACAGACTTGTTACAAGGCACTGGGATCAGCTCTATTTTCTGATCCACACAGGTCTTGACAAAACAGTCCTCTGTCCAAGAGTCCCCACAAGCCCAGGTTTTTTTCAGTTTAAGGTCGCTGCAGAAACAGCCTTTTTCGGGAAGGTGAAACAATACACACTTAATTAGAATATTTTCTATCTATATTGCTTTTAGGAACAAATACAAAGTACATAGCAGTCATGATTGTGAGTATGTTATTTTCATTTTGGTCAGAGGCAGTCGTACCAGGGGTAGTTGTAGAAAACGGAGTCTCCTGTTCTGTAGTTAAAGAAGTTGTAGCTTTTGTTGTAGAAACAGTAGTCTCCAGCGTTGAGGTTGGAGAGGTTGTAGTAGGAGTTGTAGAAAACGTAGTCCCGGGTTTTGTGGTTAAAGAAGTTTTAGTTGCTGGTGTAGAAACAGTGGTCTCCAGCGTTGAGGTTGGAGTGGTTGTAGTAGGAGTTGTAGAAAACGTAGTCCCGGGTTTTGTGGTTATGGAAGTTGTAGCTTCTGGTGTAGAAACAGTGGTCTCCAGCGTTGAGGTTGGAGTTGTTGTAGTAGGAGTTGTAGAAAACGTAGTCCCGGGTTTTGTGGTTAAAGAAGTTTTAGTTGCTGGTGTAGAAACAGTGGTCTCCAGCGTTGAGGTTGGAGTGGTTGTAGTAGGAGTTGTAGAAAACGTAGTCCCGGGTTTTGTGGTTAAAGAAGGTGTAGTTGCTGGTGTAGAAACAGTAGTCTCCACCATTGAGGTTGGAGTGGTTGTAGTAAGGGTTGTAGAAAATGTAGTCCCCAGTTTTGTGGTTAAAGAAGTTGTAGTTGCTGGTGTAGAAACAGTAGTCTCCAGCGTTGAGGTTGGAGTGGTTGTAGTAGGAGTTGTAGAAAACGTAGTCCCAGGTTTTGGAATGAAAGAAGTTGTAGTTGCTCGTGTGGCAACAGTAGTCTCTGGCGTTGAGGTTGGAGAGGTTGAAGTGGGAGTTGTAGAAACCGTAGTCTTCTCTTTTGTGGTTAAAGAAGTTGTAGTTGCTGGTGTAGAAACAGTAGTCCCCAGCATTGTGGTTGGAGAGGTTGTAGTAGGAGTTGTAGAAAACGTAGTCTCCTGTTTTGTAGTTAAAGAAGTTGTAGCTTCTGGTGTAAAAACAGCAGTCTCCAACGTTGAGGTTGGAGTTGTTGTAGTAGGAGTCGTAGAAAACGTAGTCCCCTGTTTTGTGGTTAAAGAAGTTGTAGTTGCTGGTGTGGCAACAGTAGTCTCCAGCGTTGAGGTTGGAGTGGTTGTAGTAGGAGTTGTAGAAAACGTAGTCCCCGGTTTTGTGGTTAAAGAAGTTGTAGTTGCTGGTGTGGCAACAGTAGTCTCATGTGTTGTGCTTGAAAAAGTTGTAGTAGGAGGTCTAAAAACAGTAGTAGTGCCCATTGTTGTGGTTAAAGAAGCTGTAGTTGCTGGTGTAGAAAAAGTCCCCAAAGTGGTGGTTGAAGGATTTGTAGTAACATGCGTTGAAACAGTTGTTTCCATAGTTGAAGAAGTTGTAGTAGCAGGTGTAGAAATCTCAGTTGTTTCTGGTGTATAAGCAATTATAATTAGCACTTTTTATTTGTAGTCAAGACACTGGTAGTTGTAATCAGAATTTTATGAGCTGTTTTTTTTTTTTTTTTGTACCTGTGGCAGTTGTTGTTGGTGTAGCTGTAGTTGTTGTAGGAGCTGTTGACATCAGGGTAGTAGTTTATTATAATTAACATAAAAAAGATCAATAAAGTTCTTTGATATCTTCATATGGTTTAATGTGAAAGACCACATCTAGGTAATGCCTCTAAGCAACATTTTTCTGTATTCTCATATCTGAATTTCTTTTGGATTTAAGTTTAGACTTTGACTGAACTATTTTAAGACAGAGATAGTTAGATTTGAACCATTTAAATGTAATACTGGCTAAATGTTTATGACCCTTTCCCTGCTAGAATTTGAACCTTAGCTTCTCTGTCCCTGATAAGGATCCACATTCTATGGATGGAACGGTGGATCAAAAAATATTTTGTCCGCCACTGATCTTCCAAGTCTCCTACTAAGAAAGATGAGAGAGGTCTGTAATTGTCATCACAGGTACACTTTGACTATGACAGACAAAGGAACACAGAAGAAAATAAAAATCCTGGAAATCTCATTGTAGTATTTTTAAAGAGATATTAGGAAAATAAGTATTTGATCATTGATAAAAGTTTAACTTAATCCTTCTGCATTTTGGGTCAGACCTTTAATTAGATCATAACAAATCCTTTGTAGCATTACAATTGTTGGCAATGACAGAAATCATATATACTATAAGTCTTATTAGGTTTACACACACTGTAACTGATATTTTAGCCCATTCGTCTATGCAGATATCCTCTACAGCATTGCTGTTTTGAGGGTTTTGCTGGGCAATATTAACTTTCAACTTCCTCCACAAATTTGTATGTTGGGTTAAGGTCTGCAGACCGGCTGGTCAACTGCAGGACCACTAAATGCTTTCTATGGAACCTCTCCTTCGTTGACAGAGACGTGTGTTTGGGATCATTGTCATGCTGAAGGATCCAGCAATGTTCCATCTTCAGTGGTTTAACTAATGGAGGTCATCATGTCTATTTTGTACAGTAGAAAAACATTCCTAAGGCATGTTGTTTCTGATTGCATGCTTCACAGTAGGTATGGTATTCTTGGGATGCAACTTATCATTCTTTTTTTCTTCAAAAACGAAAAGTTGACTTGTACCAAAAAGTAATATTTTGGTACAAAATTACATTCTCCCAATTATCATGTTGATCATCCATGTGCATTCTAGAAAACCCTAAGACGGGCCGGGAGATGTACTGGCTTAAGCAGGGGGACATGTCTGATACTGCAAGACTCAAGTCCCTCTTGGTGCAGTGTGTTACTGAGAGAGGCCTTTATTACATTGGTCCTATCTCTCTGCAGGATATTCATCAGATCCACCTGTGTAGTTCTGGGATTTTTGCTCACTGTTCTAATGATAATTTTGATCTTACGACCTTGCATGGGGCCCTAGATCGTGGGAGAATATCAATGATCTCCCATTTTCATATAATTGCTCCCACACTTGATTCATTCACACCAATGTGCATGCAATTTTAGATTCCCTCTCACCAGCCTGTTGCAGGTCTACAATTGTGTTCCTGGTGTCCTTTGACTGCAGTCTTTATTGGTCTTTCACATAAAATTCCATACTTAAAAGGCATATAACATTTGCAAAGCAAGAACTGTATCAATAGTCAAAAGTTGTTAATACTTACGGCAAATAATTGTTCCATTTTCACAAGTACTGGGTGAAGAGCAAAAATATTTAGTCATTGTTGAAACAATTCTTAGCATATTACATTGAAGAAAGTACAAACTTACCACAAAACTAAGTCTATAACAACTTCTTCTCCTGCTGGGACAATTGTTTCATTGAAATAACAGGAACAATTCCTGATATCAGTGCATCTGCCAGTATTTTCATCAAAGTATGGAGACTCTTTAGGGCATCTTGGGTAACAGCCTTTTTCAGGAAAAAAACAAAAAGAAAACACGTCTTGATATATTGAAGGGTTCTTTAGGAAACTACTCCCCCAAAAAAGTCTCCAAAGGATTTGTAAATTAGGCAAATGTAAGTGTGCATGAAAAGTCGTTTATGTTCTTTGTATATATAAATGTCATCTAATCACAAAACAGGATTAAATTGGAATGCAACCTTTCGCAAACATAAGGAAAGTCCGGCTGCCATCTAAATAAGCCTGTTTTGTGGTTGCCATGACCGGGATGACTGTGAACTATTTCTTTAAAATACTTGACTTCTGTAGTGGTAAAGGGCCTGTACTTTTATAGCTCTCATTTAAGTCAGAAAACTTCATGCACTTAAAGCTACTTTCAGTCATCCATCCATTAATGCACACAGTCACACTCTGATGGTGGCAAGCTGCATTGTAGCCACAGCTGCCCAGTGGCAGACTGACAAAAGCGTGACTGCCATACAAAAACACCATCAGTAAGTTAACATGTAAGATTGTTTGTCACCTTCCAACTTGTGATGCAAATAGTTGGGAGTTCCACAGGTCAGCATCCTTCCACAGGCTTCATAGTGCCACCTACACTGGCCTTGCTCGTTGTAGTAGTCACAGTAAACGGCTAACATAGAAATAATGGAAAGTAATACATTATTGATTAAAGCCTTTATTTTAATGTGATATATATATATATTTTTTTACATTTTTAAAAGGTTGATATGTACCAAATATATATATATATTTTTTAATAGTTATGTTGTTTATACAGATAAAAGGATTATAACTTACGACACAAATCAGGTGTCCTCCATTTAATGCAAACATCCAGATCACCACAGGCCTCTGCATAGGCAGCCACTGCCGTGCAGAAACCCAAGAACTTTCCTTCAAACTCACAGGAACAAGACTCCTGCACACAGGCTTGGTAGTAGGGCTCTGGGTCCACCTTAGAATTGAATAATACCCAAACAAAGATGTAAGTGACATGTTATGCCACATCTGACCACTAAGTTTCATTACTATTAGCAAAAGCTAAATATCTACTATACAAACCTTTAAATGACAGTCTCTGAATGTGTCTCCTTTAATGATCATACAGCGCCGCTGGGCCCATGCAGAACAATAGGAGTTACGTTCACACGGAAATATCTCAGTGGTCACATCAGAGCAAGGAGGAGTGTTGGTCTTCCAACTGTTTCCAAAAGCTAGTGGACTGCTCACCACTAAAAACAATGTTATTGGTTGTTTTCAGCAATATTGTAAAAAAAGGAAAGTTTAATGTAAAGTAATAAGAATAAGGATTTACCAGCTGAGCCAATTAGCTGAAGGTCGTTCATCTCACTGGAGTCGAAGTTGCCACAGAGACCGCAGACTTTGTTCTAGAAAACATATTGTTTGAAAAAATAATATGTAGAAACTGTAAAAAGTGTTTGCTAAAAATGAAGAACCAATCACAGAATCCTCATGTTAGTTCAGTTAGTCTAAGAGAAATTAATAGTTTATCCTTGTAAAACCCATCAGAGGAATGTTTTAGACATATTTAATTCCTCCAAACTTAGAAGAAGACAATTCACTGATCTGCAGTTTTTTATATATTTAAGAGAAAATACAGATTATAGACATAAAAAGTGCGTATTAAATCCAAGTTGACAGATAATTTTTTTTCTTGTTTTCAAATATGTACAGTGCCTGCCTTAGTGAGGGTCTGCTGAAAATGTCTGATAGAGCCCTCGGACAGAGATGTGTTCAACTCCCACCTCTGGGAGAGCTTTTCCCAGAATCCGGAGGCTGGAGACATGGAGACTTAGTGGGCAACGTTCTCTGTCTCCGTTGTCTGATGACGGCTGGATACAAGTAGCTCAAATCAGCTTCCTCTGTAGGGTGGCTGGGCTCTCCCTTAGAGATAGGGTGAGGAGCTTGGTCATTCGGGAGGGGCTCAGATTAGAGCATTTTCTCCTCCGCATAAAGAGGAGTCAGTTGAGGTGGCATGTACATTTTTGACATAATATCCCGGGATGTGTTCAAGGCATGTCCCATTGTCAGGAGGCCTAAAGGACAACCCAAAACACAATGGAAGGACTATGTCTCTCGGCTGGACTGGGAGTGCCTCTGGCTTCTCATAGAAGAGCTGGAGGAGATGTCTGGGAGTCTGAGGCTGCGGCCCCTGTGACCCAGTCATAGATGTTGCAGGAGATGATGGGTATGAGTATGAGATATCAAGAACAATTTTAACAGGATTCCTTGAGTATCAGTTACCCTCGAGAGAAAGAAAGTGGGCATAATTTATGATTTTCGCACTCACCCGCCAGTCAGGATGGAGTTCTATGGTGATCCTTGTGTGCTTGTCCCAAATGAGAGTTAGACCTTTGCTTGGCACAGATATTACTATATACAGTCCCACAGTGTGTGTCTTGTAAAGGGGCTCTTGCTCCAAAGTCAAACCACTTTGGAGGTGTCTGGTCACTTTCATATCACTCAGTGTCAGAGTGACTTTATTCTGAAAAAGAAAATTATAAAGTTAGACACTTGTTAACCTAAACTGTAAACCTTACATTTTAAAATACCATTCTAAATAATCAATAAAGTAACTGAAGTGAAATATGTTTAAATAAAATGCTACAATATGAATATGTATTTGTTAAAACATTAAGAATGTGATAGAGATTTTAGTCTTCATGAAAAAAAGAAATACCTCCAGATTCAGAATAATTGTACGAGAACAGGTGAGGGCTTCATCACAGCAGGGCACACTTTCCACTCTAACAGAGAAGGAACCATCTTGATATCCACAGTAATCCTTAAGCAAAGACAAAGATACTCAATGCTAAGCAAATATTAAAAGTCATCTTAAAATGCTCCACTACGTTCTGGGAAGCTCACCTCTACCAGTGTGTACTGACAGTGTCCATCAAAGCGATACCATTTAGAATCAAAAGTCTGGTAATGTCCATTTCCATAAACCTGACACTTCCCTGAGCAAGCCTCCTCATCTTTGCAGCTCCACTGGCCCTGGTTACAGGTACTAAAAGGTAGAAGGATGTCAACATGATTATTCCTGATCTTTATAAGGGAAGCAGGTGCAGCAGAGCGAGTGTTACCATGTTTTACAGTTGGTTTTGACAAACTCTCCGGCGCTGAACACTCTGCCACTGTACAAACAGGTGCAATTATTTTTGGGAACGCATCTCCCATAGTGATCCTCATATTGGTCCAGGGGGCAGTAACAGCCACTCTCACAGCTCACATTGGCACCCTGAGTATGGTATGGTATCAATTATATCCTATCAGAAATTTAATTATTTAAACATTGCTTACATAACAATTAGGGATGAATCTTACCAAAGGTTTACTGAGACTGCTGCAGGTTTTCTTGGCTGTGTTCTGTACAAACTCTGAGCAGTGAACACAGACCTTCCCGTTTCTGCAATCTAACCCAAAAACATGTTAAATACCAAGAGGCTGAAAGGTGGGAAGCACGTACAATGATGCATGTCAAATACAAAAAAATAAATAATGCATTTTAGTTATTAGAACAATTAGCCCAATAGAGACAAATACACTCTACATCATCACCAGGGGGCAAAACTAAATCATTATTCCAACATTTTCTTTAATTAACACATTCTCATTTAATTTGAAAAAAAAAATGTTAACATATTACAAGATTTTATTTACCACAATCCTTGCACTGGAGTTTTCCGTCCTCGCAAAGACTTGAAGATAAATTATATTTGATTAGTTACACATTAATACGTCATGTCACCATCATAAATTGAATGTAATTAGCTACAATTATGTTTGTTTTTTTCGTGTAAACATATTTTCAAGAGCAAGATAAAGATATTTTAACCATACACCTTTGACACCCTGTCTCTAATTAATCTATTGTTTTTACATAATTCCTAATCAGCTTATTTTCCCAACACTCTTCTACTTTATCCCACTCACTTGACTTATTTTGAGTTGATCTAGATCTCCTTTTTCATTCATACTGTAACCTTCCTTCTTTTCCTTGATTTTATTTATTATTTATTGAGACCACTTTCCATAACTTCTATTTCCCTCATTCCCTTTTGCTTGTATCTTTGTTTTTTGTTTTTTCTGTTGCTCTTTTTCTGCTGGATGTAATTTTGCAGGGCTCTGGCAGTGCTCGTCCTGTTCCGCTTTGTACAAAGGCAAAGGTAGTGGTCCTGCTGCTAGGTTATTGCCCTCCTACTGCCTCTACCACGTCTCCTGGTAGCTATACAGCTCTGGACATTATGCTGACAGACACAGACAACCTTCTTGAGTCCATCTCATGGTACTGTACCATGAGTGCAAAAGCACCACCAACAATTAGAAATGACCAAAAGATCAGCCAGAAAGCAGAGAAGAACTACTCTTTTATTAAGTGTGTCCTGGTAATTGGCAACAATTTGCACCTGTTGTCTATTCCATTTGCACAAAAGCATGTGAAATTTATTGTCAATCAGTGTTGCTTCCTCAGTGGAAAGTTTGATCTCACAGAAGTTTGGTTTAATTGAAGTTGTATTGTCTTTTTACATGTTCCCTTTATTTTTTGAGCAGTATAATATACTCTAACACTTTTGCATCAGATTAGTCATTACAGTGGTTAATGTACCATTAGAAATACATTAACTTGCTGAATATTATCAATTTATAGATTTGCACAAATAACTCCTTACCCTTCCCTTTCCTTTTCAAGTGCTACAAGTCAGTTTCCATTAACCCACCCTGATATTCACAATAAAAGTTGGTCAATGCAAACACTAATAAATTTAGGGTTTAGGAGGAAGAATGAGAAGCAAAAAGGTTAACAGTACTCAATCCTTGTCTTCCATGCCCATATGAAACTCTTTTCTACTCTACTCACCCTCAATATTTAAGGTTTGACTGAACCAGTTCAGAAGAAATGTTGTGGCATTTATCTAGTTGGTATGACAGCAATGAACATTTTCAGTATTTTCCATGAACTCACCATTGTCGCCCATCAAGAACTACAGGTCCTGGTGGTGTAACACCCCTATTGTGGTAACAGTCGCATTTCACCTTTGGGGTGCAGGTACCGTCCTGGTCCAGATGGGTTCCCTCTGGACAGCCACAGCCCTCTGTTGGAGGGCTGTCCCGCTCACAGCGAGGATCATACCCGGACAGGGAGCGGCACGTATGATTACAGGCCCGAACGTTGTAGGAGAACTCCTGGTTCTTTGGACATGTCAGAGCTTTAACACAGAATTGTTGGAGGTGTTAAACAGAAAACATTCATTCCACTTTTTCAGTAGGAATAAGGGGTTAAGTGCTTTGCAAGTTTGGCATGTAGACAACTATATGTGTGTGTGGAAAAAAATGAAGACATATGTTTCATAATATATTGTTTGTGTTTCAACATGTTTCCTAAAGCCGTTACTCACTGCAGTTGGTGGCTCTCCTCCAGTCACCAAGCTCTACACCCAGAAAGACGCAGGCTTTAGCATAACTTCCCAGAGAAGCACACAAACACTGCTGCAGATTGTTGCCACAGTTACAAGTTCTCTGGATGCAAGCCTAGAAGCAATAATAGCTTTTAAAGGGGCAGTCATTGTTAATGCATTACTGTTAGCTGACTTATTAACTTATTGGGAATTTCTTCAAAAATGTATTGTTTAATAAAAACATTCTTACGGCATGGTACTGGTCAGTTGGGATGTGATCATGGCACTTGGAAAATATCCCATTTGGATCATACAATAGCGAGCACTTCTCATCTGCAAATATTTCTGAAATGTACAAAATGAAATAATATGAAGAAATTTCTTGGCAAAATCCTTTGGCACAGTAGTTTTCTATGGGGTCAAAGATGTAATATGGGGAAGCTATGTTCAACTTCTTGATCCTGTCTACATGATTCCAGTCAGTGCTGTTGAGGTTTCAGTAAACTGGGTTGTTTTGATGGCTGATGTCTGTTTTTTATGTTACTAGCTAGCAGTTTATCAAAGTTTTTTGAGGTTTTTTTTTTTGTACACTAACATTCATGTGTTTGGAGAACCCCAATAATTGCTGAGAACTATGCTGAATACATTGCTTCATCAAGAATTTAAAATATGATCTCAAAGTGAAATAAGAATCTTTTTTTAATTGGCGTTTTAGGATCTGTTATAAAGATGAGGTATTATTCAGTAAATGTTGCTTAAGAGTCTTATATAGAAACAACCGCTATAAATCTATGGTGTTTAAGGTACTGTGGAGGATGTTGTAAAAGACCCACCCTCTCCAACAATTAGCATGCAAGAGCTGCTTAGTTGTCCTTTGTGCACGCCCTATTTAAAATGTGCTGCTCCAATAGCTCATACAAGCTTACTGTGTCCACACATAGCAGGGACTATATAGTGGAACATTAGTCGCCGCTAACGGGGAGCGACAGCCTATGGCGACAGCGGGCCTCTGTGACAGCAAATCCCATAATGCTGTGTGAGGAGAGCTTTCCGTGCAGCTCATTCTGGGGTATATCTGCCTCTTCTGAGGGCTTTCTTTTCTTCTCATACACTTCGTAGACACTTTTTCACTTACGACCCTCGGCCATTTTCAAAGTAACACGGTCAGAAAGGTGAGCTGCAATGACTGTCTGAAACCGTCGCTCACGACAAATATATGCCTGAATGATAGCCAATCGGACGAGCACATAGGAAGGCCTTACGTAAACATATCACCAGAATCATTAACAATTAGGAGGATCACTTATTTAGATGATCCACCCAGAAATAAAAGATCATCCTCTATACCTTTAATTTCATATTCCTTATAAAAACAGATCACACTCTGTGGTGACCAAGGTTTTTATAGATGAAGTGACTGGAATTAAAGTATTGTATTGATTTGTTTTGCAAGAGACTTTATTTGCATATAAGAATGGGCCTCTGGAATTAAATGGTTGATTCTGAAATTTTTGAACACAGTTTATGTATAAGCTTATTTCAACAGTTGTTACCATTGTCAGTATTGATACAAGGGTCGGGGATATCCACTTGACAATATCCTAAACTCCAGGATAGAGCAAATAGCTTGGCAGAGCTCTCGATGATCCCGCTGCTCGTAGTGAAGTCATCTGTGGTGTCATTGTTCCTGTTTCCACAAAGACCTGAAAGAAAGCCTGACTTTAAATGCAAAACCACCAGGGTGACATGCTAACAAAAATACTATACAGTACAATTATAGGTAATAAATATATAATTGACATTTACGGAAGCTTATATGATAGCAGAAATGCCTATTTGTTCAAAGTCTCCCAACCTGAGATCTGTCCAGTAGTCTCTGTGGGTGTGATTGACAACTGGAGGTCAGGGAACACCTGGACTTCAAGCGCTACACCAACAGTTGTATAAACCTCAACATACATTGATGACTGCCAGAAAACCAGTGCTAGATCTGTGAGATGACAGAGATTAGCAGAAATGTCATTGCGATATTCTCTAATTACTCTGGATGCATTAAAAGGTCATTTGGCATTTGTCATACCGGATTGGTAGAGCTCAGTAATCTCTTGGTCTCCAACTGTGACCTTGCCTACTGTGAATGTAAACATTTCCTGAAAGAGGTAGAGTATATTTGATTGAAGATGCTTTATAATTTCATATTAACTTTTTAAAACTTCTAAAGACATTTGCCTCGATTTGCCCATACCTGTATAATCTGTACACGTACTGCCTTCAATGATGGTTCAGTTTTAGAAAACTCAATCTCAATATACCAGTTAAAGTCCTGCAATGGAGTCAGAGAAGTTTGCGCTTTGAGATTAATAATCCAACAAGGCTGACAATTAAGGACCATTGGGAAAAACTTTTACCTGCGATGCCATATATGTGCATTTACCAGGAACCGCATACTGTTTGCCGTCATATGTTGTCACAAACTGTCCTTCAATGAGACATCTGGATGGGCAGGAGTTTTCAGAGCAACGCCACCTCCCACTATCACACTGACTGAGATCAGAAATTTAATATGAAAAGTTAAACAGGGTCTTTTCTCTTTTAATTTTTAAGATTTTAACCATTGCATACACAATTGTTGGGGTTTTTTTTGCAGTATTTGCTTTGTCATGTGTAATATAATTAGGGCTTGATTTTCAAAGATTCCAAATAAATGGTGCTAAATTGCACATGTAGTTATTTTTTTGGGACATGCAACAAAGGGGCGTGTTGCAAGTGATATTTTTGTCAGGTTTCACCTCACTTTCCGAAGTACAAAAATAGAGACAACTACAACTGTAGTTAAAGTTTCAAATTTGGACAAATGATTTGTAATTATAAATGGTTACATTTGCATATCCTCCCCCCAAAACTTTGCATAATTCAGTTATTAGAGTATAATTGGCATAGCAATGAAATTATACACAAAAAAAAGGTTTGCTGTCTGCTGAATTGCAGATGCAAAACATTTTGCACCTTCTTGGAAGATATGCTTTATGCATTTGAAACATTTGGGCACCTGTTTTAAGACACGTAAAACTTCTGAAGGTCAGGCCCTTTTTGTTTGTTGTTTTAGTGCATCCAGTCTTTTTCATTGAGAAATGAAATGTTTAAACAAGGCATATCAGATGTTTGTTCCAGATCAAAAAATGTCAAAGAAAGATGTAAAAGATGTAAAATGTCAAAGAAAGATTTAGTAATAATTTTGTGATTACATTTTCTTATTGCCAGTGTCACTTAACTACACATAATGGTGTAACTCATCTGTAATGATACCTTTGTATGCGTTAGTTACAAGGGTTGTACCAACATACAAATGCATTTTTTCTCAACTGACTCATTAGAAACATGCCAAATGGGGAAAAAACCTATTGTTGAAGAACCTGTTACTAAATTGTTTAGGTACATGTAGAAATTGTTAGTCAAGAATTCACAGCTTTAAAAGGACTTTTGATGTCCATGCAAACAAATTTTTCTTTAGAAAATTAGACAATAAAATGTTCTGTCACTATATCAATTGGCTTTTTGTCATATGTCATAAATAACCTTTACTTATAAAAAAAAAAGTCACACTGGGACTAGAGAGATGGCAAATTCAGGCGATCTTCTGACAAGTTTCTAAAAATGCACCATTGTCTTTAGATTGTCTGCCCACTCACCATATTTGACATCTTGTGGTGCGAATGTCTCCAGGAGAGTAGATCTGATCAGCGAACACACAGGGGCAGTTGTGGACACCAAGACACTTGTATTCATCAATGTGATTATTTAGCACCTCATCTGCAATTGCATTTGTACAGTTTTGAAGATCTATGCAACAAACATCAACCAAAAAAACAAAAGTAGATACTGCTGTGTTGTTTCTGTCAAACTCGCAGTGCTCACCTGCAGGACAGACACAGGAGCTGGTGGTCTCCAGGGAGGTGAATCTGGAGTCTGGGTTTGAGCAGCTGGGCACAAAGGGAGAACCCTCATCAATGTAAACCAGGTCTCCAGGACAAGTTGGTGGAGCTGCACATGTCCATCAAAGCAGAAAAAGAGTATCACTGGGTGATCAAACTTTGATCTCAAAGTATTTGGGGGAGTTGGATACCTCCCTTCAGGCACGTTTATGAATGGTTCACCTACCACAGTTGGTTAAGGTTCTCCAGGTGGCCCAAATATGGGTTCTTTTTCCACACAGTAGTACAATCTCTTTGAAGAAAGCACATGCAATGTCGCTGCTACCTTCGAAGGTGTAAATGTTCTCGTCACAGAGGGTGATATATTCCGATGTTTGGAAAGTCCGACATTCAAGCGTGTGTGAGAAGAAGTCTCTGCACAGCTGCCACCAAAGGAAGCAAAAACTGTTTTTTAAAGAAAAACTTTATGTGGACATCATTCTTTTGATCCTGTTTGCAAGTTTAAATACTATACAACAGTTTTTTTTAAAGTAAAAACTCCTTGAATCCTCATCTTAACATGGTAGAGAGATGTCTGGTCTGATGATCCCAGAGCCTATGCTTTCAGGGGCTTTAATCCTCCTGGTAGTGTCTCAGACGGGTCAAACAAAGAAAGGTTAAAACACCATTATTTAAACAAACACACCAAAGGTATTAGCTTCGCCTGGTTCAGCAGAGCCTAGGCTTGCCCTAGAGCTCGGCCTTGGGTTGGGATTTGTTGGGGAGATCCTTATCATAGGGCCAAGCCCAAACCAGTGATGAATGGCCATCCCACAGTGGGTGCACGATCTGAAGTGGGAGCCATAAGGGACTGGTACAAAGAGTTCTGGACAGAAGTCTGAGGTGGAGGCAGAGGTGACCTGAACTAATAACCATTATACTGGCATGTGGAATGTCACTTTGCTAGAGAGAAAGGAGCATGGGCTTGTGAAGGAGGTTGAGTGATACTGGCTTGAAAAAGTCACGCTCATCTCCGTGAACAGACTTGGCTCTGGTTAGACTACTACTCTCTACTCTACCACTTTAGTACATTACAAGAAGAAACAGAAGGCTATGGTGGGTTTGCTTGTCTCCTCATTGCTTAGCTTCTCATCTTGGGTTTTACCCCCGTGCATGACACGGTTACATCCTTGTCAAGTCAGTAAAGACGCTCAGACTGTTGCCTTAGCCTATTGGCCAAGCTGCTACACATAGTACCTGGCCTTCTTAATGTCCCTAGTGGGGTTGCTGGACACTGCTCCTCTGGGGGACTCCGTCATTGTTGTGGGGGTCTTCAGCGACCGTGTGGGGGCATGACAAGGAATTATGGGAGGAATGGACCCTTGCTCTGAGTCTGAGTGGTGTTTCATTATTGGACTACTGTGTATTGTCCATTGTTGGATGCACTGGAATGGAGTATGGAATCATGTATTCCTGAGAGTTGAATACAGACCATTTGGTCCCATTTTAACTTATGGGAACTAGCAAAGCAGCTGGTATAAAGATCAGCTTCTCCGAATCTGAGTTTATGGTTCTCAAACCAGAAAAACGTGGCTTACCCTCTTCTCGTCAGAGAGGAGTTCTTTCAAGTTTGGGAGTTTAAGGATCTTATGTCCTGTTTAAGACTGAGGAGACAATGGATCAGGATATTGGTAGGCAGATAGGTGAGGCTGCCTCTGTAATGAGGATGCTGAACTGGTCTGTTTTGGTAAAGAGAGTGCTGAACCAAATGTCAAAGTTTTTATTACTAGACAGAGTATCTTTCTACCCTCACCTATGGTCATAAAATCTGGCTCATGAACAAAGAACGAGACTTCACATTCAAGTGGCTGAGATGAGCTTCCTCTGCAGGGTGACTGGACACTCTCTTAGAGATAGTGTGAGAAGCTCAGCCATGTGGGAGAGACAGGGAGTAGAATAGCTTGGTGGGTCAGACCTCTGTTTTCTATGACCCCTTGACATCTTCCTTGGGTGATATTCCAGGCTTGTCTGACTGGGTCCAGGAGAATGCAAGAAGATGCTGGAGGGGCTATAGGTTTTCACCTTTAGAGATGCCCAGAGATGCCTCTGCTGAGATTACCTCGCTTTGACTCATTTTAAGATAAAGCAGATAAGGAGTACAACTGTCTTTTATATAAAATGGGAAAAAAAATCTAACTAAGAAACTCAAACACTTAAGGAAAGTTCCTATGCTTTGTCTTCAACTAAAAAATAAAATGCAATTTACCGGATGAGGATGTGGGACAACGTCCAGAATGACACAGGTGGGGTCAGAAATCAAAGAGTTTGACATCTGCTCCTGAATGTGACCTGCTTAAATGCAAAGTACAGTGATTAAAACATTTCAATGGAAAATCAGAATTTACTGCATGTTTTTCTTGTTAGGATGTAGTATTACAGCTCAGAATAACAGTGATTAAGAAAGAAAAAAATATATCTTCTTAGCATACATAAGCTTTAAGATATGCTTATTTTCCTTATCTTTTTAAAACTGTTTACCAGATATCTGGATAGAATTTCATGAAGGTATTTCAACGTTTTCAACTGGTAGATGTTTAGTAACAATCTAAAAGCCAAAAAAGTCAAACTGTTATACCCTGTATAGCGCTTTACATCAAGTAAGTGTATCTCTATTACCTTAGAAGCTCAATAAACAGAAATGAGGGTGAGCTTAACATAGTTTCACTATATCATATCTATGCTGTGATTAAATACATTGTGGTAATTTGGGGAATTTATCTAAACAGTACTACAACTAGTACTATTTTATGGGATAACATACCTGAGTTTTGTATTGCACAGAGTCCACTCAAGTCAGAGCTCAGCTCTTGGTCTAGTTCAACCTTTATAATGAATCACAAACACAGACTTTGGATATTAGATTTTAATATATAAGGGCTTAACTGGTCATCAAATTGGTCAGTAGAAACTCAGAGAAAATAAAGCAAAAGACAAAGTTACTAACCACCTTATCATCATAATAAAACAAAGTGCACATGCAATTGATAAAAATGAAGCACAAATATAAAATCCAACTATATAAAAAATAGTAAAATCAGAATTCTGTGTAAGCAGGGCCGCACGGTCTCACGGTTTCTAACAGCCACATATTGAGAAACTGTGATGCAACATAATGAACCTCACTTTGAAGTGGAAAAAAGGAGCATTTATGTTCGATCTGGTGATTTAAGCACATCGTCTAACCGCACTATATTCACTGAGTCTTGAGTCAAAGATCATATGTGAGACCAACTGAGCTATTGTTGCAGGAATACTTTAGATAGCTGTCCATTAATAGTGATAGGACCAAATGAACTAAACTAATATTATAAAGAAGAGCTCCAAAATCCTCATTAACCCCAGATTTTTAAAGGATGCCAATAAGGATGAATGCTAATGCTACAGGCAATTGCTGCTGAGAAGGTTTTCTTTTGCTAGAAGGATCACCTAGCAAAGAAAGTAACAACTCAGCATTTAAACCAAGTTTTGGAGAATTAAATACACGATTATAGGTGTTGTCTGTGTCATATCATGTTCTCACCCAAAAACTGTCAAGTCCTCCAGCTACTGTGTGCCAGGTGACTGATAGAGGGAGTAGTGAGCTCCTCAGTCTGGTGTAGATGCCGTACGGATATATGTGCTGGTAAGTGTGGTCATATGGAAGGGAAACCCTATGATAAAAGAGACCAAGAAGATGAGAGGTCAGTTTAGAGACTGCTTTGCTTGTGACAATGAACATCATGGTGAAATATGATGAGTTATTAGTGTTTAAAGCTAATAATCTACCAGCTCTCACATAAAATTCAAAAGTTCCTGGTGCAGACCAAGTTCCCCCCCCTTGCTAAATGCCCTGAAAGGTCACTGAATTTATTTATCCTTTATTGTTTCCTTGATACCTTTTAATGGTTAATCCACATTGTTTTTTTCAGCTGTAACTAATTGGTAATTAATTTAAGGCTAAAAAACTGTTGGGTAATTTCCAGGTCAAGTCACTGACCCACCAACTCCTGATGCTGTGGATCTGCTGGGTCATAAGAGACATATTATCATCAATAGGGGATTTACTAACCAGAGATGTGTTGTTGTGTTTAAAGGCAAAATTTAAAATTTAAATTTAAGAACATTGCCAGGGGTGGCTCAAAACTCTTTCATCTACTTACTATTGGTAGTGATATTAATCTGGATTGATGAGAATTTTATTTTCCTATACCAGATGATTTAGTGTCATTGGGGGAATAATATTCTACAAGTCACGGGGATCTAGATAAAGCTATTCAAGTATTTAATGCTGTTTTTACAGTTGTCAGTCAGTATTCCTTCCTCCATTTAAAGCTTGTACAATACTCTCCTGTTGACCTTTTGACCAATTCCCGTCCTTTCATCTTTGCACTGGCTCTCAGTTCGGGAAGGAGTTCTTATGCTCTTGTTTAGTTTAATTGATTTTATCTGAAATCCACCAAAGCCACTGCAGCAGAGCTTTAGGTGTGCTGATCAACATCTCCTAGAAGTCCCTCACTTCAGCAATGGGGAACTCAGTCATTTTCATTGGCTGGTTTATCATTATGGGATAGTGTTCTCTATCATTGACCTTCCTCTATTCAAACTTAAGACTTATTTCTTTAAAAAATGCTTTTAATGTTTAGTATTTTTTTTTATTTTCTTTTATCCTTTTAGTATTTCCCTTTTTCAATGTGTTCTGAACCCATTTCTTATGCTGTCAAGCACTTTTTCCAATGCAATGTGTTGTTAGGGGCATGTTAAAGAACCTTGGATTTGATGTTATGATTTCAATTACTGTGTTATTTTAATACTGCTCTCAATGAGGCCACTAATGATAGAAATGCAGAAAAATCCTTTGAATAAACATGTCCTTTGCTTCAGTAGCAGTTTTTTTTTTAAAAAAAACAAAGAAAGAAATTCTTTAATTTGTTTGATTTACCAAGAGGAGAAAGGAGTTCCACCTCAAGCAAAAGTAAAAAAAAAAAATAACTAAAAAAAAATACCCAAAAAGCAAACATAACATTTTTTGTGTGCAAAATACAAATGCTTTTCAATAACTGAACTGTTAATAATGAGATCACAAAAGTAATAATTAAAAGAAAATAAATTCTCAAGGAATATAATTTTCTTCTGGCCTAAAATAGATTTTTTTTTTCAACATGTTCTTTCAAAGCTCTTGTTATCTGGGAAAAATGTCCTGTAGTTAAACAAACATAGTTCTAAATATGTTTTTCCGCAATAACCATAAACATATTTGCGGGAAAATGGTGAAGTTTCCAAGCCAAATATCACAATTCTAACGGTAAATCACTGTGCTGTTTTACAGTATGTAGATGAACAAGAAACTGATAAAAAATTTAAGCAGCAGATAACTATTTGATGAAATGTCATTATGTGATAATACTGAAATGACATTTTAACAAATCAGCCAGGAATGTAAAGCTGGAGCATAAATTAATCTTTCAAATGGAAAATAAGACTATAGAATTTTATTAATATATGTAAGCATAATATGTATCTTTAAACAAGTGCATTTTTCTAGAATTAAGCATGTAAGTGAGACACTTTGCCAATGCAACAAGACAATACACATTTAAAATAAGAAAAAAACAATTGCATGGTCTTATTTCAAGTGCATATTACCTTATTGTCTTATTTTAAAGGTAAAATGCTAATTCCATTGGCAGAAAATCTTATTTTCCTACTCAAACACTTATTTTATATGCAGTTGGCATTTTACAGTCTTGCTCTCTGCCATGAAGAGTTTGTGGACCTAGCTGGATTAGTGCACGTGTGAATGAGGCTAAATAGAAAATTAGTTCAAACCTTTTCTTCTCTACCAGTACGGTTCCATTCTGCACCACGGTCTTGACCTTGTTGATGATAATCTCAATAAGGGTCAGCAAACCATTTTGCCCTCGCCGTATGGTGATGTCACACTCAACCCGATTGTGGGTGAAGCGGGCGAAGGTGAACGGGCAGTTGGAGCGCACATAGAAAGCAGAACCTGTGAAAGCCTGGATGACTCCGCTGCCGTAGGTCTTGCAAGTATCTGATCACAGTGAGGCAGATCAGAGGTTTTTATGTAGCTACACATTCAGGAATAAACAAAAGGTACTACTGTACACAGACAATAACATGTTAAACTGCACTTCAAGAAAAAAATGAAAAATGTTGCATCTACATATGGATACTTACATTTCTGAGACTCAGATGCTCCCATAGATTCGCCCTTCCTGAAAACTGTAAGAAGATTTTCAATAAAATAGGAAAAAAATTAAAGTCACAGTTAAGAATACATTAAATATATTATTAATGCACTAAGACACAGTCTTGGTCAGAATTTAAATCAGTAGTTCCAAATATTTGAAGCCCCTAAAAAGATTTAAGGTTTGTAAAGTAGTAAAACATTTTAAAAATCTGTAAAGATTAAAATACTGTAGAAGCAAATTATTAAAATAGTAGCAATTTTACTACTAAAATCTAAATTTATAAACTAATTTTCTGTGATTGAAGAAAGGTTTGTTTCAAAAAGTAATAAAGCTTTTTTTCTTTCAAAAAAAATCGGAAGTGCACTCATGAAACTTTTCTGAAATTACTTATTAAAAACATTAATTACATATTCAAAAATGTGTTTCACTTATAGCCTAAACTACTTAAACTTCTGAATGAAATACACTGGGAAACCATTATTAAATAATCTTTCTCTTCTTTTTAATAAAAAGAAAAAAAAAATCTGAAATCCAAATTAAAGAAATCTAGCAACAATAATCATGAAATATGCAGAATCTTGAAGGATCAAAGAAATTGATAAATGTGCCTTTACCTAAAACTGAGAAAAAACAGAGAGCCAGCATCCATCGCCTTAAGTTCATGGTGTCTGATGCTTCCTCTCTGCAGGTGAACACAAGGTCCCAAGAAGAACTTTGCCATGTTTATATATGCCCGTCTCCACGCCTGCAATACCAAAATCAATACTCGTCACGTACAGTATACACCTGTGCATCCATGCACTCATCCAAAGTTGAACTTCTAAAGTAACCAGGAAGCTCAATTCAAGGTAACAACAAAACAAAAACCAGAAAAACCCACACACTGAAATACTATATTAATATAAAATAATATGCTTGTTATGTTCTTATTCTTTATGATTTGGAGAAAAAAAAAAAGGAAGAGAAATGTATTTAACAATTCTGTAGAGAAAGCTGCTATAGATTTAAAAAATGTTAAAGAATGTGAAACTCAAGTCTGACACTTCCCTTTTAATCTGCATTGCTTCAAACAAGAAAATATCAACTTGGAGCAACTCATCCGAACATACAGTATAATAATTATATAATAATTATATTAATAATTTAGTTTTCCTGAAAATACTGAAGACGGGTGACTTTGAAAGTAAACCCCACTATACTAGGTGATATATTAAGTCTTGCATTGTGAAGGAAGAAAGATCCTAACTTTTGTCAAACACCAGCCAGCCATGAAATTATCTGCATATTAACATAAAACAAACACAAATCACAAAGGGTGGTGAATGGGAGGGGGTGTCCAGGGGACATGAACCCGGATGTAGTTAATTATTTTTCAATGTCACAGGTCTAAATCATAAAAATAACCAAAATAACCTCTTACCATAAAGCATGGAAGGACTTTATGATACCTGAAAAAAGAAAAAAAAGGGTTGTGCAATATACAAACAAAACACTTCTCACTTTTAAGTATTGTTCTTGTCTAGATGAAAAAATAATTGTTTTCATGTGACATATAATTTGATTTAAATGTATAACTTTCAGAAATAAAAAGTTCAAACAGACGAGGATATCTCAATGTACTTCCTTAACCATGAGGAAGTACATTGGTACAAGCTGGAGATGATGGATAGCTAACACTGAATGAAAAATCATTAAGAATAAAATCTACAAATTTCAATCAATTTTGAGAATGAGGAACTAAGGAGAGACAGTCATATAGATTAGTGAACATTTATATATAGTATAACACACAAAAAAAAAGCATTTATTTAAAAAAGCATTAGCTATGAAATGCAAACATTTAGATATGTTAAATGGGTTTAATATGCAGTTCTATGTGTTTGAGGCTCCACATAACAACAGTGATTATTATTCACAGCAAAAGAAAACATTGAGCAATGGTGACCCTTCCCAGCAGTGGCCAGGCCTCTAAATCTATTGAAAAAGCAGCCTGACAACTCATTTTAAAAGGCATAAAAAATCCAGAAAGACATCTAGGCGCTACTGACTTACTTCATTTGAGGTCAGAGTTCACAGCTTAAAATTACCAATAAACTTTGCAAAAGTGGTCCAGGTGAAAACCCAGGCAAGTGCCCTGTTACATCTAACATTACCTTAACACAGCATGATAGAAAATAAACATTTTTCTACTGACTGAATCATGATGATGATCCAAAGCACGAGATGTTGACCTCTAAATCGCTCAGTAATTGTTCTAATCCACAACAGAGGGTTTTCAACAAGAACAGCAATTTTCATTCTACATATTTTAAAATAAATTAGACTTTGACAAGGCCTCCCAATACCTTTATTTTTAGATACTATTTAAAAATTCAGATGTACTAAAATGCTTTAGATCATTGCTCTGCATCACAACCCAAATGTATTTGAGCTCAAAGGCACAAAGGTGATCAGATATTCTCCTGTAGAAATTTTCTATTATACGACCCAATTCAATGCTCCTTTAATTGTGGCACGTTTTTCAAAGCTACACTACAAATACCATGTGTATTTTTTTTCCCATGTACTGTCCATTTGTGGATAATGGCATGGTTTAGAACATAATAAATCCAAATAGTATGGAATATGCTGCATGGGAAACTCTTCAATTTAGACAACTATTTGTCAAAAATGGTTATACTGTATGCATGGATTTTCTTTTTAGTTATTTAGAAAACAAAACAATACATTCCCAACTATCTAGTGTATTTATTAAATGTAGAATTAAATGATCTCAGTATTTAAAAATACATGCCTATATGTATCTGATTGTTTTTATTGTTTCTCTATAGGTTACTGTTCTGGTGAACTGTCAGGAAGCCACTCCCCTCTGCCAATCTCCTCTGCTGCTTCTTTCTGCTCTGCTTGCTGGAGATGGGAACCAGCTGGACTCAATCTCTGGCAATCAAACAGTGTACTTTTGGTGTGGCTGACCTCTCACTCTTGTTTGAGGAAGTAGCACAGCATGCAAGCCAAACAGTGATGGCTGTACATGCAAAGTGCAAACCGTGCAAAAAGTTTCTAAGAACTGTGAAGGAAAGCCAGTAAGCTGATTACAGTTGCTCATTCACATGGACTGGCTGTGATTATCTGGTTGATTGCGTAATACTATTAAAAGGAAAAAAATACACTTGGTGTTTATTAGTTAAAGCAGAAAAATGTTGAAAAAAATGTAAATTTATTAATTCCTGTTTAATTTCACTATAAAATACTTAATGTATATTATTCTTCAGGAATAAATTATTTAAATTGGTGGAAATTGATTTTTTTTTTTTTTACTGTACTTGTTGATTTCTCATTGTAATTAGATATTTCTGTCTCTTTTGAGAGTTTTCACCTGCGTGATTGGAGAAAAATTATGACCGTCATAATAAAGATGTCTAAAATAAGGACTCCTTGAGTGAATGCCAGTTATGTTTCACTGAAGAGACTTCCCTTTCAAGTGGGGACTGCACATCTAAAGATCAAACCTAAACAGGGAACTTGAAAGTTACATTGTTTTTCCTTTTTGCTGTCAGGTCAGCTTTAATAAAACTTTGTGTTGTGATGCTAAATATGTCCTGTAGAGGGCAGTAGTTTTCAGCTTTACAACCACCTCAGTCTGATGTAAACCTCTTTGCTTAGAAATGTCTTGTCCAGGCTTGATGCTGAGAAACTAGTCTACGCGTGTGTTACTTCAATGATGGACTATTGTAATTCTTTATTACCAGGAACTCCTTAGACTGCAGTTAAAACCAGCTTTTCCAAAATTCTGCAGCAAGAGTTCTAAAGAAAATTTAATATTCACTCTTAGCCTCTCTTCATTGGCTTCCTGTTAAATCAAAAATATGATTTTAAACACTTCTTCTCACATATAAGGCCCTAAATAGTCAGTTGGTATCAAAGATCAGATTGTTCCTAACAAGAGCACTTCGCTCTTAAGTCTGTAGCTTTATTTTTTGTTCCTATATTTCTAAAAGAAGAATGGAAGGCAGATCTTTTAAATATCTGGCTCCCTCCTATACAACCATTCACCAGTTTCAGTTTTTGAAGCAGACACCCTGTCTAATTTATTTATTTATTTTACAAAGCTTATAGTTGTTCAGGTTATCCTGAGGTATCTCTGTAGTTATGCTGCTATAGTCTTAGACTGCTGGAAGACTGCTTCTGTCTCCTTGAACCCCCAGTTCAATGCAGATGGTATTCACAGTGACCCAATTTCTACTGTTTTTCCTCTCCACTGTTGCCGGTTTTCCTTAGATAGTAAATTTTGAACCAAACTGGCGGTATAATCCACTGTAAAGTGCCTTGTGATGAAATGTTGTGAATTGTCGCTTTATAAAAAAAATTGAATTGAAATACAATAGCATGAGCTATATTTCCAATAAGTTCAAACAAATTTGCTCAAAAGGAAAGGGGAAAAACAATAGAAAGGTCCTGTCTTTTCGTTTTATATAGTATTCATATTCATACAGTAGTCTACACATACTACACTGCAAAAACTATCTAAAAATGAGTAAAAATGTCTTAATTTGAGCAGGTGAATAAGATTATTTTTATTTTTACTCTTAAAATAAGGTAAATAGAAATTATGCATTTGAAATAAGACAATGCAATTTTTGTTTTCTTATTTTAAATGTAAATTTTCTTGTTCCATTGGCAAAGTGTCTCACTTACATCCTTAATTCAAGAGAAAATGCACTTATTTTAAGAAAAAAAAAGACTTATTTATATTTAATTTTTGCATTTTAGTAATAATTTGATTAAACTATAGTTGCTATTTCAGTGTATAATGTTATTGATCTCGATACAAAGCATCAGTCCCATTTCAGACCGTAAATGCCCTAATGTTTCTGAACCACGTTTCCAAAACAATCCCTTCCTTGCGTCATGCCTACGCTGGTAGTGACGAACTAGTCCACTACACTCCTCCTATCTCACCTTTCCTCCTCACTCCGCTCCAACTCTCCCATCAGGACCACAGAGATGTCCAGCTTGGTTGATAACAACACAAGGGAGAAACTTTACCCATTTTGCATTTCAACAGGCTCTGAATAGTGGTTTTAACTTCAGAAAATTGAGGGAAGCGGAGTTTTTTTGTGTGTGTGTTTTTAGTTCATTTATTCATTAGAAAACACAGATAACTCAGCCGCCCTGCGCTGCGTTGCGCTTCCATATGTCGCGAAAGCAGGTCGACCATGACTACACCCTGCGGAGTATGAGCAACCTGATGGGCGACCGCTGGAAGAAAGTCAACGACGGAGGTGAGCGTAGCCTCATCAAGGCTGCGTCCAGCGGCAGCATCAGCAGCCAGGGCGCAGCCTCTGCGGGCGCACCAGCTCCTGCAGCCGCCTCCTCCTCCACCAACACCAGGGACTTGGAGCGGGCTGCGCGCAAGCAGTTCCAGCAAGATGTCACTCCAGCCTTCGTGTACGTCCTGGCTGTGTTCTCCGCGCTGGGAGGCTTTCTGTTTGGGTATGACACCGGGGTGATCTCCGGGGCGATGCTCCTGTTAAAGAGGGAGCTGGACCTGAGCGCGCTGTGGCAGGAGGTGCTCATATCCAGCACCGTGGCAGCGGCAGCCCTTTCTGCCCTGCTGGGAGGTTTCCTCAACGGGCTCTTCGGGCGCAGGGTGTGCATCCTGTTGGCCAGCTTCTTCTTCACAGTCGGAGGGATCGTGCTGAGCACCGCTCCCGGGAAAGAGGCGCTTCTGGCGGGGAGACTGATCGTTGGGGTGGGCTTAGGTAAGATGCGTCAACCTTTTAAAAAACAAAAACATGTGATGCTGGGTGAAAAGACTTTTACTTCCTCCTCTGATTCTTCTTCTTATTAGTCTTGAATGTCCTGCAAAAGTAGGACTTGTGATGCTCTTGCAACTTTTTTCACCTTTTGTTACAACAAAACCACAAACTTCAATCTATTATATAGGGATTATATGCTGGACTTATTTCAGACCTGGAAAATAGAAGAGCACCATCTGGGCTGCATGGTTTTCCAAAAATGTCATATCATACTACTTGAAAACGTGTATGAATTAGTTCCTTATGCCTTTTAATAGCCCAAAATCAAAACCAATGCACAAATTTCCTTTCAAAAGTTGCCTGTTGTCTAATCCACCTTTATTCAATCTTATCCAGGTTTTAGATGAAGGTCTTAGAGGTTTGTTCCTAGAAAATAAGTAAATAAACAGGACTTTAAATGCAGAGGGACACTAAAGCCCGGGTTATAGATTTTAGTGTAAAAAAATTGCACAGAGCTGTTCGGTCATCATCCAAAAAGGAGCAATCTGCTCACGTCCTTTGAGATCAAAATAAAATTGTTTGGCCTACATATAAAACTAACAAGTACTGGATACACGGTCTATATAAGGAGACAAAGTAGTGGCAGCATCATGTTGCAGAGGGTTTCTTACTTCACAGACACAAAGGAGCTTGACAAAGAAAAGAGGCAGATGGATGACAAAAACCTTAATTCTTCAGATTTTACATATTTCTCCAGTGATTTGTGCCCCTGAAATAATCACATCCTCATTGTCAGCGCTCATGAGTACACACCTGTTTTTGAAATTTATACACTCATGTCCCCTCAAAGGTGTTTTTATTTAGCTGTTTATAATAACGTAATGGAAAATCACTTAGAGATAATGGCTGCAACTAAAGTGCAGTAGGCAACTACTGGATATTGTTTCTTTATTTAGTTATGTCTTTATTCAGTTATTTATTTATTATTGTGGTAAGATACACAACAGGAAGCTCGAGCAGGATTTGATTCCCAAACTCCCAGGTGAAAGTTGCTTTCAGCTAAAGAGATACCACACCAGAGCGACAGCCAAAGCCAAATCGTCTCAATATGTTTATTTATTTAGAATAATGGCTCCAGAGAGGGATTTACAAATGTGGTGCCTCCAGACAATCTACCAAAATCAGGCTAAATCAAAAAATTATTCAAGATAAATATAAAGAAAAAAATGGGTCAAGATGTTGTGTAACTTTTGAAGAGACCTGTTGGTAATTTTTTGGGCAAAAATGTTTGGGAACCACTGATTTAGGATGACTACTACAGTGAGTCTGTCTTTGCTGATGGACATAAAAAATGCTTTTATCTGCAGTTTCATGAAAATCAGGATGAACTTGAAAGAATGTATTGATACTTTAATGCAAAAAGTTTTATTAAAGCCACATGGTGTGCTTTTTGACCCAAGTATTAGCTGAGATATAGGAATTGATTTTTCAGGTCAGTTTAAAGAACTTGGTGCGCATCGCTGCTCTGTATGGGCTGAGGGTCTTGAGAGGGCCAGATACATCACTGACTGAGACATGTGACCTAGAGCACTACTTAAACTTGACGGCTATCCTAAAAAGTCGTTGTCAGGCAACATAAAAGATTTTACCGGAGATGTTGAAGCATTTCATCTACAGGGGGCCTCCAGTCAATCATGGGGTGAACTGAAATTTGACTAATTTAGGCTACGTTCACACTGCAGGTCTTGATGCTCAAATCCGTTTATTTTGTGAAATCCGTCTTTTTTGCATTGCCGTTCACATTTCCAAATATATACAACTTGTATATGATCTCCTGTGTGAACTGCATTCATACAGCTTAAGTGTCCCGCATGCACAGTAGAGGATGCAATGACGTCACAAGCCAGCATGCTTTGTATTTACGGAAGTAAACATGAATGTAGTGCTGGAGCGCGATCTTTGCAAAACTTAAAACCTCAATCTTTTCAAGATGGTAAAAAAAAAGACTGCTCTCTGCATCATCATCTGCCATGGTGTTTGTTTTTCTTGCCGCTCCTGCATAGCAAGAAGCAGAAAAGTGACCTATGTCGGTTACTAATGGCGTTCAGGTTGGATTAATGTGACCTGGCCGTTCAGACACAGGTCGCATTTTAAAAGATCAGATTCGTGTCGGATCCTGGACCACATAGCCAAGTGGCCTGGGTCGAACTGGAAAAAAACGGAGCTGTGTTGTTCAGACTGTCATGGAAAGATCAGATACATTTCACATGTCGGCCAAAAAATCGGATTTGGGTCACTTCAGGCTGTAGTGTGAACGTAGCCTTAGTGACATCTAAAAATAAGTTCTTGCTTTCTGTTTTTCTAGATGTAAATGAAACTGCACTGCTGTCAGAAGTTAAAATGTCAGATGCTTTGTTGGATTTGACTCTTGAGCTTCTGCTGTTAAACATCCTTTTAAACATGACTGATTATCAGAGAGCCATGAAAAGTTATTACAACTTTATGCTGCTATTATTTTAAAGCCTTTCTTTTTTACTTGTTAATCGCAGACAGAATCAGAGGAATGCAAGCTAGAGTAGTTAGATTTGTTGGTTTTCTATTAGTCTATACAACTACTTGAATTTTTTTGTTGTCAGTTTCAATATATACCCTACTTATGTTTGGTTCGGTTCAGTTTCAGTTCAAAGAATAGATTTTTTTAATTAAGTTGAAATATTGGTCCAATTTTAATAAATTATTTTTGAATTTCTTTATGCAGTTATTTAAAGACAAAACATTTTTACCTGTCACTTGTTTAAGATACCTAGACTTAGACAACCTTTGTTGTTATGTTGCATACACAGCTTGTATACAAAACAACATTTCTATGCATACAGCTTTTCAACAGTGAAAGAGCAGCTTACAACAGTGAAAGGAACATTACCATTTATAAGTGCAGCAGTGATCAATAATGTAGACAGTTTAGGAGAAAAGGAGCCCAGTTTAAAGTCATGCAAAAGGCATTGATATGGAAAGGTTCAGTGCAAATAAATGAATAAATATGGTGCAAAATGCAGTACAACATTGAGTTATGTTCTGTTTAAAGGGATTATGGAAGAAATCAGCCACATTGGTAGTGCAAATATGATGTTTTTAAGTGTGATGCAGAGACTTAATTAGAGTTTCAACACTTCAACAGTCTAATGGCAGCAGGGAAAAAGCTGTTGCGGAACCTGCTGGGGCTGCAATGAATGATGCGTAGCCTTTTCCCAAAGGGCAGCAGCAAACTATTTTTTCAAATAGTTAAAGTTTGCTCACCTTACCTTATTCTTCCAAGCATAGAAGGAAGTATGATGCTGACATGGTCTCATAGATTAAGTTTAGTGACAGTTAGATTGAACCTTTGGAGCCTCTGTTATAGAACAGTATTGCAATATGGATACTAGGAAGAGAGGAAAACTCCACTTCTGATTTCCTCCACTTTATTCTAAAAGAGCTAAACATCTTTTTATTATTTCATGAAAACCTTTTCTTAGGTTTATGGCAAAAAGTTTTCCCAAATGTTAGACAACGGAATATTTATAGTTATTTTGTTACATATTTTTCTTTAGCACCATCACCATTACAGCTACTACTTAGTAACATTAAATTAAAATAGAGGAGGTATCTTTAGGTAATAAATGATTCATATTTGGTTTATAATGTCTGGGTTTTTCTGTATTTGCCTCCCTATTCCCCAACATCTACCGTACTGTAGATCCTCTTCTGTTCAAGCTGGCATGTTATTACTACTGGTACTTACATGAGTACTTTTAATCAAAATTCAGTGTCTCGTATTATTTCTATCACCAGCTGTTTTATCCTATTAGCAAAAAGGTGTTAAAATGAACTTAAAATCCCTAATATTCATTTACCAGAAGTGAATGTTCTTCCAAATCATTTAAATACAAATTGTAAGCTGTTTAAAAAAATTTTCATGATTCTTGGCATGGAAAAGGTCCAGTTAACGAAGAGGAACAGCTGCTACTGTGTCTTACTAAAATAAATGGAATGACTTTTTTTTTCTAATTGCAAGCATCACATTAACTAGAAAGATGGCTTTTATTATGAAGAAATTATTCAAAATGTCCAACATTGATGTCTTTTTCTTGTTAATACAGCCAGGCCATTTATACAGCACAGAAAGGCTAATTAAGAGAGCCCATCAAGAATCCTCTCTAAACTTTCCTCCATTTAGAATTTTTGAATACAGTTGTTAATCCTGACAGACAATAGTAAGTCTTAGCTGACCTGGATAGGATGGAGTCATAATTAACCATCCTGGAAAAAAAAAAAAAAAAAACTTTTTTAAAAAGAATGTCATAAACCCAGCTGTATAGAGACCCAAAGCTCTGTTCTGCTGTTGCTCAGTCAGGCATACCATTGAGCAGACATTAGAGAGTTCATCTTCACTCCCTCGACTATGCCTCTTTTAAGCTTCATTAAATTTGGTCACTTACCTGTGGAAGGAAAACCTCTGCTCACATAGACATGTTCCCACTTACTGACTAATCAAGTCCATTTAATTAGTAGAACCAGGCTGATACTTCTTTTCCAAACAAACAGTATTATTAAAAATGACTTTAATCCTCTCCATCTGCTGATTTGTCTTATTTCTATTGGGTAAATATTTAGTTGTCAGACAAAATTAAAACATCTTCACAATCATACTTGACAAAAACTAAGACAAGTAATTACTCAGTTAATTTTTTTCTGCAGTATAAAAAGTATTTTTCTCAACAAATTTTCATATTCAAAAAGTTGCTGTTTTTATAAATGAGGGGCAGGTGCCAGGTGGGGTCCAGATGTTCTCATACAGGTGTTATCCATGTGCTTGCTCACCTTTTACCAATAAAACTGAATACATATATTTTGCTCTTTGAATTATTTAATACATAAAACTTTCAACATTATCTAAAACAAACTAATTAATTAATGTTTTCTTTCTAAGTGACTGTAAACAGTCTTGCTCTATGCTACAAAGT